CATTGAACTGTTTACTTATAATGAGTACATGTTATTGTATATGAATGCTGTTGATCTTCAAAAAACATATGTGCCATAGGAGGAGCCATTCGATGGGGTTGTCAGTGACTGGTTTGGAAAAAATCAAGAGTTATCTGGTAGAAGGATCTGACTTACTCAATGCAGCTCAAGAAGTGGAACTACAAAAAACGCACATACACTCTAGGAAATGGATTTCTACTCAATGGATTTTTATGAATAGTCTTGCTCTGTCTGCCCTGCCCTGAGTTTGTTTTAAGCCAGAGTGATCTGAAGGTTTTTTGTTTTTGTTCTTGTTTTTCTGCTGTCTTGGAAACTTTGTAAAGGTGTAGCCCTCAGCCTGATAGCAGCAGAATCTCTGCTCTCATGTGAGCTGCTTGGTGAATTGTAATATCTCAAACAATTCAGAGAGGAAAGCGATCCTACTCCAAGTGTCCTTTACCAATGAGGAGACTAAGGTTAAAAACTTGACAGTTTTGAGTCTTCTTGAAAGGTAGATGGGGTATATCAGGTACCAACTAGGATGCTTTTGGTTGGGAATAATAGAAATTCTAACTCAAAATGGCCTAAAATGGGAGGCTGAGGCAGAAGGATCGCTTGACACCAGAAGTTCAAGACCAGCCTGGGCAACATAGCAAGACTCTGTCTCTGCAAAAAATAAAAAAAATTAGCCAGGCGCAGTGGCTTGCACCTGTAGTCCCAGCTACTGGGGAGGCTGAAGTGGGAGGATTGCTTGAACCCAGGAGTTCAAGGCTGCAGTAAGCTGTGATCTCAACGCTGCACTCCAGCCTCGGTGACAGAGGAAGATCCTAACTTTATTTTTTTTTTTTAATGTTTGAGAAAATGAAAGGAGCTTACCAAGCTCAGAGGTACAATGAGTTTCAGGTTTGTATTGATCAGGGCTCTGGCTCCATTTTTCTGCAATTCTCTGGTGCTCTTCTCTTCATATGTTGCCTTATCCCTTAGACTGGCTTCCTTTTTGGTAGTAAATGGCTGCAATTAACCTAGGTCTCGTATCCTTACATTTACCATACCACACAGAAGAAGAGATTTTTTCACCCCAAAAACTAGAAAGAGTTCTGAGTTTCAGTCTGATTGGAACAATTCATGCCACATGTCTTCTCCTGAACTGATTGGTAGGGTTATCCTGACTGGCATTCGATCAGTCAAGGCCCACCCTGGAGCGCAGATGGAGTCCAACCTCCAAACTAAATGTGGCTCCACCCAGCAAGAGAGAGATGGAATTTTTGCAGAGGAGGCCACTTTTCATGTCTCACTACTACTCCCTCGACCAAAGCAGCCTATGTTCCTCCTTGGTGAGAATTTCTTCCTCTATGTGCGCATGATTGTTTTTTACTATCTTCAGAGGTGTAAAAGGAACATGAATCTTGGGCCCCAGATCACTAAGCTGAAGCGAAAAGTGAAGCTGGGAACCGCTTAGGGCAAACCTGCCTCGCATTCTATTCAAAGTCGCCCCTCTGCTCACTGATATCAATGCATAACTGATTGCCTCCTTTGGAGAGGATAATCAGAAACTCAAAAGAATGCAACTATTTGTCTCTTAGCTACCTATGACCTGGGAACTCCCTCCGGGCTTAGAGTCTTCCTGCCTTTGCTTGGAGTTGTCCTGCCTTTCCAGACCGGACCAATGTGCATCTTGCATATGTTCATTGATGTCTCACGTCTGCCTAGAATGTATAAAACCAAGCTGTGCTCTGACCCCCTTGGGCACATGACATCAGGACTTCCTGGGGCTGTGTCATGTCCTCAACTTTGGCCAAATAAACTTTCTGAATTAACTGAGATGTGTCTCAGATTTTTGGGATTCACAAAGGATATTTACTTAAGGTGTCTACATGAAAATCACATGGTCACACAGTAAATTTCATTAGTATTTACTGTTGAAATGTTTTAAAATTACATGATCCAATAACCTGTGATCCTTTCAAAATTACTTTCCTCTGATCTGTGACACAGAACAATGAAGTCCCAGAGCCTCTGGGTGTTTAAGAACATGCTTTTGGTTTCTGTGAATTTTACCCATAAGAATAAACTTCTTGCTAAAGTTCCCTGTAAGAGGTAATAAGGTGAAAGAACAACATAAAATAAAAAAAAATTACAATTAACCCAGTGGGAAAAACTAAGGCTCAGAGGAATTAGGTTGGCTGATGAGGATGTTAGTGGCAGTAGTTGGATTAAAATGCAAGTCTCTTTGTTCTCTAGTCTGGTTCTGTCTTCAAAAATCACATACTGACCTCTGTGTGAAATCAAAGAAAACCTATTTTCTGCCAGTGGATGATATGATGGTTAATTTTTTGTCAACTTGGCTGGGCAACAGTGCCTAGATGTGTAGTCAAACATTGTTCTAGATGCTTCTATGAGGGTGTTTTTGGATGAGATTTGCATTTAAATCTACGAATTTTGAGTAAAGTACATTGTCCATAGTGTGGGTGGGCCTCCTCCAATCAACTGAAGTCTAGAACAAAAGGCTTACCTCCAGAGTTTGAGACCAGCCTGGGCAACAAAGCAAGACCCCCATCCCTACAAAAAAAAAAAAAAAAAAAAAAAAAAAAAAAAAAAAAAAAAAATTGCTGAACTTCCCCAAGCAAGCAAGAGGGAATTCCCCATCAGACTGCCTGCCTTCAGACTTCATCTGCAACATTGGCCCTTCCTGGTTTTTCACCAGACTACACTTGGACTCAAACTGTAATTTTTTTCTGAACCCCCAGGCTTCTGGCCTCCCCCTTCAGATGTTGGACTCACCAAGCCTCCACAATCGTGTGAGCCCATTCTCTAAAATAAGTATCTTTTATACACACACACATCCTATTGTTTCTCTTTCTCTGGAGAACTCAGACTTATGCAGATGGTCATATACTCAAATGTCCACATCAGAGGTAAAGCTACAATGGTTGTCCTGAGGACTGGATTGTTTTGGTCATTATTGCTGCATAGTAAACTACACCAAAACTCAGTGACTTAAAATAACAGGTCTGTACTATTTCTTGTGATTCTTCCATTGTGTCTGGGCTTAGCTGAATGGTTCTTCTGCTGATCTTACCAGAGTTCACTTGTATTGGTGCATTCAGCTGAACATTCTGCTAGGGCCTGGGTTCAGTTGGGGTGCTGGGATGGTTGGTCTTTCTCTCTGTTTGGTCTCAGGGCCTTTCCCCTCCAGGGGTCTCTCCATATGATCCCTTCATCAGGATAGGTGAACTTCTTTCATAGAAGTTCAGGGTATCTAACTGCAAAAGCAGAAGCTGCAAGGCCTTCTTAAGGCTAAAGCCCAGAATTGGGACAGTGTAACTTCCATCACAGCTTATTCGTTAAAACAAATCACAGGACCAGCCCAGATTTAGTATGCGTCCAAGAATGTGAGCATGGAAGGCATGGTTTATTGAGAGCCATGGACTTATTTAACAACACCATAGCCTGCATGTACCCTTATGCAATGGCATTCATCAGTTCTATCGCCATAGAAGATAAATTGAGGTCTTCTGACTTTAAAGTGATGCTATATGGTGGCCAATGGAAAACCAGTGTGGTGAGATGGATTTCCTCACTGGGCCACAGAGTCAGTCTCACAAAATCCTAGTGGCATTGCAAATGCTGGTTTCTCGTTAGCCCTCATCAGCACCTCCTATCTGTATATATATCATTTTACTCTCCCTGCTCAGATTAGTCTGTTGACTCTTATTTCATGATTGACTATAACCAGATTCTCACCAATAATGGGGCATAGAGGATTAAAGCAATTAGCCGGATAGTTCATTCCAACAGGCTATTTCCTATAGTAAGTACTAATGTCTTCATTTTATCACTCAAATGATCAAGTACAAGTTGGAACTCTGGATAACTTATCCTAAGACAACCTTGATGCTCCGTTGGCTTTAGTAACCAGGCTCGCTTGCCTGGTGTTATCTGTGGAACTTCATGTATTTTGCAATTTCTAAAAAGGTGAAGCACTTTTGAGACACTATGAATGTCATCAGTAGTCCCTGAGAAGAGCATCTAGGAGCTGCTGAAGGCAAGAACTGGGCAGGATGGACAGGTGGGGGAGCACATAGCATAGGGCATCCCAGCCGGGCTGTGGGATGTTTGGGACACTAGACTCTCTGGGTAGCTGGGTTGGCAAGGCAAGAAACATGGCAACCAGAACCTTCTCCGAGACTCCAAGCCAAAACCTGCCCCAGATTTGGCTACTTGGTTGTACCTGGAAGAGCCTAGGAGTATATTTGATATGGTTTGAATTTGCGTCCCCACTCAAACCTCATGTTGAAATATACCCCTGTGTTGGTGGTGGGGCCTGGTGGGAGGTGACTGGATCATGGGGATGAATGTTCCCCTTCGGTGCTAGTCTCATAATAGAGTTCTCACAAGACCCAGTTGTTTAAAAGCATGCAGCACCACCCCGCTCACTGTCTTCCTCCTGCTCCAGCCACGTGATGTGCATGTGCTTCCCCTTCGCCTCCCACCATGATTGTAAGTTTCCTGAGGCCTCCCCAGAAGCAGAAGGCTTCATGCTTCCCATAACGCCTACGGAACCATGAGCCAATTAAACATCCTTCTTTTATTATTAACTACCCAGTCTCAGCTATTTCTTTACTGCAGTGTGAGGACTAACTAATACAACATCTCTCTCTTTTTTCAAATTTGAGACAGGGTCTTGCTCTGTCACTCAGGCTGGAATGCAGTGGTATAATCTCAGCTTACTGCAGCCTCCACCTCCTGGGCTCAAGCAATCCTCCCACCTTAGCCTCCTGAGTAGCTGGGACTACAGGCACGTACTGCCACACCCAACTGTTTTTTTCATTTTTTGTAGGGACAGGGTCTTGCTATGTTGCTCAAGCTTTCCTAAAACTCCTGGGCTGAAGCAACCCTCCCTCTCAGCCTCACAAAGCACTGGGATTACAGGCATGCGCTACTGTGCCTGGCCAGGAATACATTTCTAACCCATCTCATGCCTCCCGGCAGAAGGAACGTCTAAATTTAGCCATGTTTTCAGAAACAATGCCCTTACATGACATGAAATAAACAGGTCTTCAGGAGAGAGGTGCCAGCTCCTCGTTCATGGACGTGTTTGTCCACACAGGAATAGACACCGGCTGTGCGCTTCCTGCGTCCTGGAGTTTGTGAAGAGGAAGGGAGAGGCCCCTGCTTGGAGACGCTTTCCACCCATAGATGTGGATGCCACCTATGCTGCCAGTGGCAAGCGTGACTTCAGGATCACTGAAGAGGCCCAGCGTGCTAAAGGGTCACACTGGAATGAAGCATACAAGGTCATAGTAAGAGAAGTAGTGAGAGTCGGTACTAGGGTCTGAATGTCTGTCTCACCCGAAATTCAGACGTCAAAACCTAATCCCCACGGTGATGGTATTAGGAGGTGGGGAATTTGAGAGGTGATTAGGTCATGAGGGCAAGCTCTTGTGAATGGGATAAGCGCCCATATAAAAGAGACCCCAGAGAGCTGCCTGGCCCCTTCCACCATGTGAAAACATAGCAAGAAGCCACCATCTATGCACCAGGAAATGGGCCCTCATAAGACGTCAAATCTGCCAGCCACCTCAATGGTGAGCTTTCCAGCCTCCAGAACTGTGAGAAATAAATGTCTGTTGTTTATAAGCCACCTGGTTTACGGCATTTTGTTATAGCAACCTAAACAGACTGAGATAATTGGCAAGATCAGATGTGCTTGGCAAGGATTTGCACAGCCTAGAGTCCTGCTGTGTGGCTGGAGTGAGAAGCCGGTGCTGTGCCTCACGGTGACCTGGTCCTTACCTTGCAGCCTTGCCCAATCCGCACAGCACTTCTCAGTGGTGAGCATGAGTATCTCCATCCTATGGATGAGGACACGGATAACCAGAGAGGTCAAGTGAGCAGCCTCAAGTCACACAGCCAGTTCAAAGCAGGGCTGCTGCTGAGAGCCTGAAACAGGGGGATCCTGAGAGGGAAGGAAGAGCATGCATCCTCTCATTCGAAACAGACGTCCGGCTGAGTCCCAAAAGTAAAAGTACTCTGAGTGGGTGCCAACCCTGATGGGGAAGGCAGCCCCCTGACCACCAGCCTGGGGAGGCCACACAGTTGCTGCTGACCCGGGGGCAGCTGGTTCCTTCCTCCCACAGACAGCAGCACCTGCTCACCAGATCAGCAGGCAGAGGCAAGATGAATGTTCACAGCACCACGTCCGGCTGAAGCTCTGCACAAACAGCACCCATGGCAACCAAACAGAGGGCAAACACAGGAGCAGGAATGCCGCTGCGAGAACACGGCCCAGGAGTGACGGCCACAGGCCACCCACTTTATGGGCACTTACTAAGTGCCAGGCACCACATCAAGGATTCAATACCTTATTTAATCATTGATGCAGCCTGATGAGGAATGTGCCATTGCTGTCCCCTTTCATGACGAGGAAACAGACATGAGCAGAGTTGGTGGAAGCTGTGTAAGGAGAGGACTGAAGGCTCTGTCTGAGGCCAGGCAGCTGATGCCACAACCAACCACAACCTCCATGCTACCATTGCCCCTGAGGGACACCCAAGTAACACAGCCCCTCAGGAGAGCTGGGCCACCAAGCTAGGGACGAGTAAATGACAACACAGAATATAAGCTCCTCCAAGGCAGGAATTTTGTGTTTTGCTCATTGATGGGATGCAAGCTTCTACAATAGTGTCAGGTGTGTGGATGACTTTGAATAAGCATGTGTTGGCCGGGTGCAGTGGCTTACATTTGAAATCCTAGCACGTTGGGAGGCTGAGGGGGAGTTGCATGAGCCCAGGAGTTTGAAACTAGCCTGGGCAGTGTGGTGAAACCCCATCTCTACAAAAAATACACAAAAAGTTAACCAAACATGGTGGTGGGTGCCTGCAGTCCCAGCTACTTGGGAGTCTGAAGTGGGAGATCTCCTGAGTTTGGGAGGTCAAGGCTGCAGTGAACCATGATTGTGTCACTGAACTCCAGCCTGGGTGACAGAGTGAGACCCTGCCTCAAAAAAAAAATTAATGTATTTGATGAAGAAAGTCAAGAACCAGAAAGCCACCCTGAGATATAAATGCTGAATTGGTCAAGTGACTTGATCTCACGCATTGCAGCTTGAAATTCAGATTTTTCCTTACTAAGGTCTAACAGTAAAGTCCCTTAAACATGTCATTTTAAATATAGTACAATTGGTCAAGGAACCACATCTTTATCTCCGTTCTTGTCTCACACAGGAGAAGGCTAGGGGAGGAAAGTGACACGTTTATCGTCCTAGAAAGCTACCGGCCCAAGAAGGATTTTGAACCCAGTACCTTCCTCAACCAGCCACATAGGCTCACCCTGGGTCGTCTCATTTAATCTTCAATAGTGCCACCTCTGCTTTCATGACATGGAATTTTGGGTTCTCATTTACTGCATGATGGTAGGAGTTTCCATATCGCTGTGTGTCACAGATAGTCTGTTCCACGTAAACAATCATCCACATATTGCATCTACTCATGGCAAAGCCGGTGACCCTCAGAGGCTTCCCATGGTTTCTGCCCACAGCCCCAGGGATCAACTCTGACCTCCCCTGCTCAGGTATGTTCTGGCGACAGCAGGCGTAGAATCTGCTGGAAATAATAAATACTATCAAGCAGTAGAGGGGGTTTCTGCCACACTTGGGTTTTATTAGACCTGCGGGGTCTGTCAAGTGCGTTTGTTTTGCTCTCTAGATAAATGTGGAGCCAAAGGGCATTTTTCTGACTGTGAATTCTTGGCATTTGTTCAGGCTTCTAAATAAGCAAAGTGAACACTGCCGGTCTCGTCTGGCACTGCTCAGAAGCATTTAATGAATAATAAGATCATGGATAGGACCTGATACAGGAATTTCCAAACTTTGCAGGCAGTGGAACCCTTCTTTCCCTTACCCTGAAGTCCGTCATTGTATTATGTTATCACATCATATGTATTATATTATCTTACAGAGCTGGAAGTTCTGTGGTGAAGCCAGGCAGCATCTGGGACCTCTCCGTCTGAGCCCTCCTTAACCTTCCACTCGCCCTGGCCCACAGCTTCTCTGAGATATCCCGGCCTCAATTCGCACATTTCCAGAAAACTGGTCTAATCTAACCCCTTCGTTACAATGGTGGTAAACAAACGGCCCCAGAGGCCAAGAAACTCAGCCAGGATCTCGCAATGAATTCAGGACCCAGCTGGGGCAAGCACTGCGTCCCAGCCTCAAAAGTCAGTGCTCTCCGTGTAGCCCATCACCAGCCCAGACCTGCTTTCTAACCTGCGGCGCTGGGAACACACCTGCCTGGGACAAGTGCCTGGAAAGAATGCAGCTCACCCTGGCCAGGAGGCTCCCGGCAGGTCTTGTGCAAGTGGGTGCATGCAAATGACAGCACCTGGCTTACTTGTGAAATGTGTGGATTGTAAGAAAGACAGCTTCCACATCTTCCAGGGTTGACGGCCCCACCCCCAAACCCATCCTAGTTTAGATGAGAGAACCTGTCACAGGAGACAAAGCTCTCCCTGGTTGGCCTGACTTCCCACCTCTCGGTGAACATTTTTTCTTCTAAATGTGTTCTTTAATGCTCCCGTTCCTGTCCTTCACAAAAAACAAACTCAAAACCTTCTGTTTCAGCCTTTTATTTACCAGAGGTGGTTCAGAGACGCACCTTGCAAAAATGACACCTTGAGAGCTGAGTTAGAGCCGGGAAGAGCTCATTCAGTGCTGGGGGCTGCGTTCACCAGCGCAGCCCCTCACGGAGGCCACGGCATCCTCGTGGTCTCCACGCTCCCTCCCAGCTTCAGAATGCTATGAGCCTAAAAGAAACTGGAAACAAACCAGTCACCCTCCGTCGAGGTGGAGGAGCCCATCTCCAGCCAGGAGAGAGGTGCCACCCCTGAGGCCCCCGCTCTGCTGCAGGGGCAGATGAGCTCTCAGAAGAGTAAGTGCTGTGACTGATACAGAAACACGACAGAAATGCCTCCAGTCCCCGTGGAGCACACCTACTTCAGGAGTCTTTCATTTTCTTCACCTTCTCAGTTACCTTCTCCTTAGCTTTGAGGGAAACTTGAGGAAAGCTGGCCCGATACAGCAGGGCCCTAGCGTTTGTTCTGATCCCTTCTCCTGTCTGCCTTGTCTCAGCTGATAGCGTGGTGCCAAGCCCCGAAATGGGAAGCTCCGCCCTCCTCCCTACACCCTCCTCCTCCAACCCTGCGCACCCCTCCCCTTCCCTTCCCTTTTGCGCTCTTCTCCTCTCTCCTGCATGCTTCTCCCTCCCTCCCTCACCCCTACCCCCCCGCCAGCACCATTACCTCTCCCCCTCCTCCTTGCGCCTTTCTTCTCCCTCCAGCATCCCTCCCCTCATCCCTCCTACACTCCTCCCCATCTCTGTATCCTCCGCCTCCCTCCCCCTTCCCCCTGCAGCCCTCTCCCTCCCTTCCTGTACCCCTCACCCATGCTTGGAGGAAGGTCACATGGAACACTCAGTGGTGCTCAGAAATCCTAAACACTGTGGGCTCTGCAGTGCCTGCCAGCGAGAACAGGCAGTCCTCTCGGAGGCCAGACTCGAAGCAGGCAAGATGGAAGAAGCCTTATTAGGTCATCCAGACTGAGCGAGGGGTGAGCCTCTTTCTGCTGCTCCCCAGCCTGTAGGAAATGCCTGATCTGGCTGTCTCCATCCCTCCATTCGCTTCTGACTCCCTTTGGGAATGTGCCCTCCTCCCAGCGACCCACAGTCCTTCTCTGGCTGCATCTTGTCCTTCTCCAGACCTGGAAAGGAAACCCGAGGAATGACTTCTGCCCCAGAGCCTGAATTTTCTTTGTTCCCATCCTCCTGACCTCCCTTGCATTTTCTCCAGCACTGAGCACCTTTACTTTCCATATGGCTGCTTTATCTGTTAGGTTTGTGGTTTAGCCTCTGCCTCCTACACTAAAATGTCCAGTCCTTGAGGAAGGCATTGGGTTCATTTGGGTCGGGTGTATATCTCAGGTGCAGTTTCCATAAATATTTATTGAATGAACTTCTTAGGCACTAAGAACCTTCAATGCATATTCTCTCACCCCCTAACCTGTGCTGCTGCTTCTCAGCTCTTCCTGCCGGTAGAGCTATTTATATCACATGCCGCATGGAAGGACAGTAGCCTTGTCATTTCCTAACTCATTCTATCTGGAGGGCAAGAGCGTCTTCATCTTCCATCTGGGATGGTGGAATAGTCTGAAGGCTGGCATGAACCCCTGAGGACAAGGCTAAATGTAGCTTCCTTAATGACACAGAACAGGCCCGAAATCAATGCTGTGGACTAAAGAGATCTCTGGGCATGTTCACAGCAAAGGGCAGCAGCCTGGGTCAATCTATGATTTCAAGGGTTACAAAAGTTATCTTTCCTGGGTTAGAATTCCTCCTCTGCCCATTTGCTAATACCTATGATTCCACTGTGAGAACCGTATTTTGGAAAGCCCAACTCTATTTACAAGTGATAAGACTAAAATCCCAGAAAGGTGACGTGACTTTATGAGCTTTAACACACGTTTAAATATCCAGGGAAGGGAAATACTTGAATTAGTCAACACAGAGCAGGCACGATGATGGTGAATGGATCTTTCTTAAACACTAAATGGCAACAGGAAGAGGAGAAACCTGGAGGGCTCAGCGTTGGAAGATTAGGGTGGGAGTGGGGATCGACCAAAGAAGTCAGTGTGGAAGAGCAGAAAGGCAGGTGTCGCCAACAACTAACTTTATCCTCTTCCCTTTCTGGGTTAGTTGTATTTAGAAAGGACACACCTGGCCAGGCATGCTGGCTCACGCCTGGTGCACTTTGGGAGGCCAGGGTGGACAGATTACAAGGTCAAGAGATTGAGACCATCCTGACCAACATGATGAAACCTCATCTCTACTAAAAGTAGAGCACGGTGGTACATGCCTATAGTCCCAGCTACTCAGGAGGTTGAGGCAGGAGAATCGCTCCCAGAGGTTGTAGTGAGCCAAGATCGTGCCACCGCACTCCAGCCTAGCAACAGAGCAAGACTCCATCTCAAAAAAATTAAAAAAAAAAAAAAAAAGGACACATCTGAAGATTCTGCCTCAACGTGGCCCTCGTTAATTAGTTGACCTTAATACATAAGATAAAGGGATTGGACCAGAGCAGCGATTCTTTGATCTTAATGCACAATGGCATTACCTGGGTAGCTTAGAAAATACAGATGCGTGGACCCTGCTCCCAGAAATTCTGATTCAAATGGTCTGGTTTACAGCTCCAGTACTTGTTTTTATTTTTTGTAAAGCTCCCCAGCAGACTCTGACATGCACCAATGTCATTTCTGAAGTTGCTTTTTAAATCTAAATTCAGATGGCACAGAATTTGAGTAACCAAAAGCCTCATGTTTGGTTAATTTTCACTGCCAGGAGGGCCATCCGGTCCACCTACACACCTCTCTAGCCCTCACAGATGCACACACGTGCACACGTGTCTGCACACAGCAGGGCTGTGCTCATAGAGAGCTGGAAGCTTCCATGGTGTCACATCACAACACAACTTCCAATAGCAACACGTGCATGCTATCCTTATTCTCTCTTCATCTCACGGTTTAACAAAGTAGAGGCAAGGGAGTCCCCATGGGTAAACTCTTGATTGACCATTTGAGAAGACAGAGTACATTTCCCTACTGGTACCCACCAATAGTTCGTTGATTTGGTAAAACACTCTACATGTCATCTATGAGGTTGTCTCTTTCTCAGACTACTAGAAATTCGTAAAACATTGAAAGGCCATTTTTAAATGTAAAAAACAAAACAGAAAAAGAGTTGGATGGGTGATAACAGTAGATGCAATCACAATTTGTCATATTGCCAAACACCATAAGCCTCATTTTGATACGGTAATGTCAACTAATGAAGGCAGCAGGCTCTGTCTTCATCTGAGTTTGGAAACAGCATTATCAGCGCTAGCATAATCTGCTGATTTTTCTGTTAACTTCTGAGGATTTGCTGCGCATATGTCTACCAGAACCCTAACAGAACACATGCGTTTACACAGGGAAAAATGAGTCACATTCTCAGAGAAGTCAGCCTTGTAAGTATTTGGGAAATATTTCATCCATCCCTGCAGGCCTGAAAACACCCAAGAGCTTTCTTAAGTTTATGCAAATTTATATATTGTCATGTTGCCTCTGGAGGTGTCCATTTCACAATAATTAGCATCTTAGCCTGAAGGCAAAGGCATTTACTGTTGTTATTTTCCCGTCTCTCAAGTACAACTCAATTGGCAAACCACCACTTATGACCACCAACTCCATCTGATTCTCATCAAATGTACTCTTTGCAGTGAAAAGAAAAGCCAAGTTGAACTTGTACAAGGTCAGCACAGATATATCTTCACAGTGCCACATCTTGTATATGGAAAATAATAGAGGCACACTTTCTAGAAAATAGCTGGTTTTTAGAGCTCCTGGGAGTTTTATAGAGGAATGAGTAAAAGAAGGCAGCCCCTGGGCCATCTCAGCATCTCATCAGCCACAAATAGGAGACCATGAGCAGTGCAGATGTTTGAAACACAGAAAAATTCCAATGCGGGAAAAAGGAACAAGGATGTGGGCTTTCTGCACACCTGACCATATGGAAAGTGAGTTAATTTTATTCCAATTGCATTACAGTCAAATGAGAGAGTGTTTTTGCCAACGTGAAAAGCCAGAATCTCAGTCCGGGTGCAACAAAGCTACTGATTTATTACAAACCTTTAAGACTAAAGGGGAAAAGTGATCTAGTTCTGGGACCAGAGCCACCCCTTCATTACTGCGGGGGCAGCCGACAGCCGCCTTCGTGGTCTAGTTTGATGAGCACTGCAGCCTGCCATCGTGCTTGAAGTTTCCATCATTGGGAATCCTCCATTGTATTCAGATACTGTATCTTCCTGAATTCCAAAAACCTTCTCTGCAATATCTCTGGTGGACATTTCCAGGGATGAGAAGCTAACTGCTCTATAAGGCCTGAATTTTGGAAACGTCTCTGTAATGAGTTGAAGCCCTTCCTGTAATCTTCATTCATACAGCCTAATCTTGCCACTCCAGAGTTCCATCGACTAAATCTACTACCCTCTCCCCCTGGCAGCCCTTCAAATATTACCGGGAAGCCCACAAGTCTCCTCCAGGCCTTCTCTTTCCAGACTCGAAACCCTGAGCTTTTTCTATCCTAAATGATACCATTTCCAAAGTCATCATTTGGATCACCTCTCTCTGGACCTGATGGTTAAAATACAAAGCCAAAACACTAGGCACAGTCTTCCAGAAGGTGTCTGACAGCACAGACTATAGCAGAGCTGCTAGGACTTCCATGGATTTATTGGCTTTATTTCTCTCAATGCATAAGGTCCTGTTTATAGTTTGGAGTAACTATATTGTGGGCTCACACAGAGCTTAAAGTCAACTAAAAACCCCTCCAGGTTCTTCACATGAATTCTTATTAAGCCAGGTCTCCCTGGTTGCATGTATAACCTAAACTTGTACATACATAACCTACATATATATGTATATGTGTGTGTGTGTATATATATATATATATATAAAACCTACATATATATGTATATGTGTGTGTATACATACACATATATATATGTGTATGTACACACACACACACACACACGGACATATAGATATATGTACACACACACACTAATGACAATTAAATTCTCTTTGTTGCTGTGCTACATTCTGCCAAGATCCTTTTTTTTTTTTTCCATTTTTGAGATGGGGATCTCACTCTGTCACCCAGGCTGGAATGAGGTGGCATGTACCATCATGGCTCACTGCAGCCTCCAATCCTGGA